GAGCCAAGATTGGCCTTAAGCCGTGTATCGGTTGGAGGGTCATGATTGGCTAGAAAGCTGTAATAAGGTCGGAGTGCCATGTATTGATTGTGATAGTGGTATTGTTTAATTAAATGGACTGTTTGGATGTGTTATATTGATTATGGTTTAGTGGGATGAGATGACCGCTCTCACTAAGCATTCATTTTGTTTATGCCTTCTTTTATGAATATAGGTATTGAGTTAGCCCGTGAAAAAAATTGATATGAATTATATAACTAAAGAAAAAAAGAAAAAATGGTAAATTTAAATATAACTTAGGTCAAGTATTTTAATATAATAATCTTTAGCAAATTTTTATTATATACTTGGATTTTGTTATTATCTAAGTAATAATTTATGTTTTAAAAATAACTTGACTATCGATTAAAATGCTGAAAAATGTTAAATAAAGAATTTTTTTAGAAATATATTAAATTCAATCAAAAAATATGGCCGAGATAAATCTTTATTGCGATTTTGAAAATTGGACCAGGATGTCTCATTATTTTTCTCCAACAAAAATCAGTCACGTGTAAATGACCTCCCATAGATATACAAGATCATCCAAAGTGGTCCCTAAACCCTTATAATAACGTTTACAACTATATATATAACTAGAAAGTTTGCGGCGGAAATTCGTACATTTCCTAGATGTGAGTCTAAAGCATGTTATATAGGTTTGTTATAAGTGCTACTCTATCATGTGGTTTTTAATATTTTTTTTCGGAGCTTTGCCAATCGAAATAATAATATAAAATACAGACTTTAAATATTGGTTACAGAGTATTTGGAGGAATATGAATATCATATATATACATATAAATCAAAATTTGATCACATATACATTAGATCATTGTATTTGTATTATATACTACGACTTGAAAGTAAGCAACTATCAGATATTTCGGAAATTATATGTAAGAAAATGCATGACTTTCTTTTGCCAAGGGGGTCTCCTGAACCATTTTTTTCTTTACGAGGAGGTGGCCAGGTGCAGTCGGACTTCCATGCTCAAAAATCTTGCCAAGGTGTCGACAACGTTACTTACACTAGAAAAGGATCTATTATTACCATAATGAAAACATGTGATATCAATTATCTTTGAGACTATCTATTTAAAAACATCCACTGTGTGTTTACAAAAAAAGATGTGCGAATATTTCTTTGGAAACTTAAAATAATATAATTCTGTTAGTAATTTTTGTTATTGTTGTACCAAAAACTGGAACGGTTAATATTTGCAAACATAACTAAATTAAAGGGTTTTGATTTTCTGTTACTAACAAAGATGCTATGTATTTAAAAAAAAAAAAAAAACAAAGACGCTTGGCATCAATTTTCAAAAAGCCAAGTTCAAAGAATGCAAATGGAAGTACACAAGTGAAAAAAAAATAGAATAAGAGGAATAACGTTTCTGAACCGTGGTAAATTGAGACTGTTAATCAAAAAAAAAAAATAGGAGAAATAGCGATGGCTAAAATAAAAACAGAAATTTACGTACATAGACACTTTGGCAAACTCGAATTACTAACTAACACACTTAACAACACAAACACACTTTCGTAGGATAAAAAGACTTTTATACCCTTCTTTTTATGTTTTATGTTTGTCGTCGACTCCTCGTTACCTCGTAACAATTGTATTAACAATTTTTTTATATCCTGTAACAAACCAAAACATCTTTGAACAGATTCTTTTTCCTCCGTCTCCATCGGCGACGAAACTGCTTTTATCAGCGTTCTCTGATTCATCGACTCTTATCAACGGCTTCGAGTGTGGAATCCTTTGCCAGCGTACAGAATCCCGACTGTCAAAAACCTCCTACCGATTTGATCTCAGAATAGCAGGTAAATCCCTAAGATCTTTTTCACTCCAGATTTATATTCTTGATACTGAATCTCACCCATCAATGCTCATATTAGTTAGTCCTGATTACAGAATAAAATTCACAATTTCCCGTTCCTTTGTTTATATATATGCGGCTGTCATCGTTCACTCGATTCTACCTTCATAACCAATCCACCATCTACCAGATTACGCATCCATGCGGTTGGCGAATGCTATGGATGAATGCGGTGGATTAATGTTGTGGATGAATACTGTGGTTGAATTTGGTGAATGAATGCGGTGGGTGAATGCAGTGGATGACAGCGGGGATGACAGCGGTGGATGACAGCGGTGGATGAATGCGATGGATGCATGGAAACTGTTGATAAATCGTTTCAACCATCTTCCAAATTATGCATCGATCTCGATAAGCTCGCCCTTTTATTTTTACCGCTCAGTTAAACACAAGAAAAGTGTACATATTGGCATCCACAAGAGAAGTATACATATTGCATCTATGTTGCATATTAATTAAGTGGACGATGAGCAACCATACCCACACACCACATACTTTTCTCATTTTCATCTCCCATCCACAATAGTGCATCCAATTCATCCATCCGATTGCATCCATATAGGCATCGTCAATGTACATCTCTATAGAGCATCCATAAAGTATAGGAATCTATGATCATCCACCATGTTAATGGTCAGCCATATAGGACATCTATTAATTTCATCACTTTGTATATACTAACTTATATGCTTTCACTCTCTCTGGTGCAGGCCCTAACCACAATATAGAGTGAGACACTTGCTTACTAACACGCTTCTTTGCAATGGATATATTCTTCAAAGATCTGATGCTTCTAAGTTTTTTTGTTACTCTACATTGATCTAATTTCTGGATTTTAGTCAATTTTGTAAGGATTTGAATTTGAATTGGCTTTGGCTTTGATGAGTAACTTTGCTACATTGATCATGTTTTAGAGATTTTATCCATGCTTGATTTTTAATTAAGAGATTTTGTCCATCTTACTATGATAGCAAAGAAGAATTTTGATTTCAGATTCTAAATACTGAAATAGCAACTTTGAATAACCAAAACAAATCTGACCATTTGTTTGTCCATATAGTATATGCTAATGGTGTCCATAGTATATTCTATCCATCACAACATTCATCCATCAGAATTATAAATTTTAACACATTGTATGTAGAAGATTGGTGAACCAATGAACATTAAACTATGTACACAATTGAGGTCTACATTATTGCGAGATGGACATAAACTAGGGACATAAACCATGAACAGCTGTCGCAGTCAGTGATTGATTTATTAGGGTTCGAATTCTCATACCATTCACATTGTTCTTAATTGATTTCTTGTATCCACCATGTACTATCCACTTTAGTTGTTCTCATCCACCATTGTTCATCCACCATTTCTATGTTAGCTTGGGTACTTGTTCTCTCTTGCATCCACCTAATTAATTAACATGGTTCATTGTTTAGCATATCACTCTAATTGTTCTGAATTGATTTCTTGCGTACACCTTACACCATCTAATTTTGTTAATCGCATCCACTATTGCTCATCCACCATTATGCATCCACCATTGCTAATTGTTCATCCATACTTGCTCATCCACATTATTCTCATTCATTGGTTGATTTCTAATGTTTGAAGTTCGTCATATCCTTCGCACTGTTCCGAATTGATTTCTTACATCCACCACTACTCATCTACCATTGCTTATCCATTGTTACTAGTCCACATTTATTCATTGCTCATCCACTATTGCTCATTGTTCATCCAAATTATGCAATCCACAATATCACAATCCAGCAGCGTCTTCAACCCAACTTCCCCAATAATAACCATCGAGACATCTATCTATGGAGTCCATTATTTATTGTCGTCCACGGCCATTCAGTAGACAATGCTGTCCACAAAACATAGAACAACTGAATACAAAGAACAACTGAACACAAAGAATACAATCACGTTATTGATCCAAATGGACTATGAATCACCTACTCCGCCAATCAGGCGTCATAGACAATTTGTTTAGCATCGACCACACAACACCGTCCAAAAATCAAGCACAATATGGCATAGGCAATCTTATTTTCAAGTCGTCCACAACCAATACTTCTCCAATATGGTCCAATAACACAATGTCCACAACATACACTTTTATGTACGCTACACTCACCCCATTACTGTGGATACCCGTCCACAAAATATACCTATTACAAAACAATCGTCTAATGCGAACTTCGACAAATCAAGCACAATATGGCATAGACAATCTTATTTTCAAGTCGTCCACAACCAATACTTCCCCAATATGGTCCAATAACACAATGTCCACAATATACACTTTTATGTACGCTACACTCACCCCATTATTGTGGATACCCGTCCACAAAATATACCTATTACAAAACAATCGTCTAATGCGAACTACAAAACGTCCATATTTCATTATCCATCTGGACGCGACTTTCCTACCATAATTTGCTTTCTCCGTTCACAACTAATCAATCAACTAACAATTCACCGCCAATTACACAAATCCACTGATTTCCTCTTCGTGCATAAAACAAAAACTCAACCAAACTACCCCACATTCCAGGCTCATGCTCCTTGATTCCTCAACAAGAACGCCACCCACGCCTTCGATGATGGTAGATCGGTGGTTTCCTTCACTGGTTTTTGGTCAAATCAACGACCTAGGCCTCCAAAGAGACGGCGCGTGGATTATGAATGCCCATATATCAATTTTCACCATTTGGGTAAACTGTAGTTTCAGTAAAACATCCAATATATTAAAAGGGGCAAATTAGACACAACACTACCAAAAAGTACAACAAAGTGCCTCCTCTCACATTAGTGTCTTATTTTGCAACAAATTTTTCGAAAGTGCCTACGTGCGTAAATGTCTCAAATAAAAATAAGTGGAATGAATTTAGTTAGAGGAATAAAATAAATTAGAGAAACAATGGTAGAGGAATAATTTATAAAGACAAATGGTAATTATCTAGAGGAACATAGTGGAAAACTAAAATTAATTAAAAAGTCCATATTTTTTTTTTTTGCTACATAAACTATGTAACCTAATATTAATAAACTATGTAATCTAATATTAATGACGATGACTTCCACCTCTTTTCTTCAACCACATAAATTTAGCAATTTCATTACGAACAGTTCTCATATATGTTCCTGCTTCTGCTTCTTCTTCAACACCAACACTTTGATCATCATTTGCATCATCATTGACATTATATCATTCATCTAAATTAGTTTTTAAATCTGCTTCCTCAAAATCAATGTCTTCAATATTATTCATCCGAATACAATTATGAAGTTCCATTGTAGCAAATATGACTCTGTCTTTGAACTGCAATGTTATACCTTGGAAGTTCATTTAAAATCCTCCATTTTTTCTTCCAAACACCAAATGTTCATTGTATAACTGAACGAAGAGATCCATGCCATCCGTTAAATATTTCCTTGCTATTTTGTGTCAGTTCACCATTCAAAAACTCTTGGAGATAATATCGTGTGCCACTGCTACTTTGTTTTCGGCATGCAGCTAAATATCCACGTCTATTCGCATATCCAGAATCTACAAGATAATACATATTTTCTGGAGGTTTAGGAAACATAGGATCATCTCGAATAGCTGTTGATAATACATGTGCATCATGAGCTGATCCTGCCATGCCAACGAAACAATATGTGAAAAGCATGTCTATGTTACACATGGCAAAGACATTGAGACTCAGAGTTCCTTTTCAATTATAGAATCGAATAGATTCTCGTCCTAGAGTCACCACAACAGTACATGCGTCCCATTTAATGCCCCAATAAATCCATCAAAATATGGCCAATATCGTATATGATTTTCAAGATGCTTTGATTGAGCTTCAAGTTCTTGTGCCATTCGTGGTCGTATATAATCTACAGCCATTTGTTCCATTGCTTCAAGGACTTCATGAAACTTTTGACATATTGTCTCTTGTGCATGGCCAAATCTAAAACATATATCACCTTGAGTATCATATTGCCCATAGATTATGAGAAATATTGCAACACTCTCGTCAACATGCATATTTTGCGTGTCTTGTAGATTATACCTCTCCTCTAAAATTTCAAACATACGTGTAAAAGCCTCTGGACTCATCTGTATGAGCATTCGAGATGAACTCTCATTTTCATAGATTTGTTTCCGAATAATGTGCCACCCTCTGCCTCTTTTTTTATTCATTGGTTCTTTGCAAAAGAATTTTCCATAATACTTCAACAGAGGAGAGATGTGAGTGTGTAAAATTTCATCGTCTTCCAGCAATAACAACTTTGTAATTTCTTCATCCGATAAATTTTCAAGTCCACGTAAATGCAATTCTGCAATATGAAATATCTGAAAATAATACAGTAAAAATTAGAAAAATATTTTAAAATTTTATAGTGATACAAAAGTATATTTTTCTTGAATGTGATACAAAAATAAAATTTTATTGAATGGAAATATAGCAAGTCATTATTTTATTTTGTAAATATATATTTTATTGGCATTGATGACTACTAGCAAAAACAATAATGCATAGCTAATTTGTGCCACTTCTAGTTTCGACTTTTATATTAGGTGAGGGCACAACTCCAAGCAAAGATAAGAAAGTAGTCCCTGAAGAACCCATATCAAACATTTCATATCCTTGGCTGAAACTTGAGGATGCATTAGTATTTATTCCTGCCATTTGTGAGTGTATAGATATGGAAGAGAAGGAGTTGCAGAGCTGCTAGTACCCCTCAGATTTATAATATCACATGGATAGCTGTATCTATCAACTTCAGTTAGGTTCTCCAAAAACTAAATTTTATTTTCTTCACTCCGTAATTTCATAAATCCATCACGAACATCTTCGTCATTCATCAACAGCCTATTTGCTTCCCACCAAAATTTCCACATCGGTTCAACCGGCAACGTCTCCAATACAGCTACAACATCGCCAAAAGTTGCTTTTGAGTTATGTCACGACCATAAGACATCCAATAAGCTTGTTCGAGACTCTTCAAGATGTTGAAATCCAGTTTGAACTTGGCTCTCTAAGTTGATTCTTTTTCGATTAGGACGTCTAGTAGTAGACTTTTGAGCATGCAAGGTTGATTTATTTATACGGGATGGAGAACTCCGTACTTGTTCCCTAGTAGCAGCGATAGCTGACTGACTAGCTCGTGAAAAATCATTATCAGATGTTAGTTCCATCGGAAGTTAGGATCTATTGTGTAACACACCCGGTTCAGAATAGGACCAGTCCCGACCGGAGACGCTACAAAATGTCGAGGTTCACTCGATAGGCCAGTCCGTCTTAGAACACATCTAATCTTAAGGCCATCACGGCAAGTTAATTCGACCCTCGTAACTGAGGCCTAAGGCTTGCCAACCCGTAATCCAGTCGAGAGTTGTGTAGACTCGGACTAAGTCATCTTAACAGCGGAAGCCACAAGGGTTTTGTACTTAGAAAGTACGCTTCTATATTTCATGAAATATACATATTACAAAGCATTTATTTATTTTAAATAGCACATCCATTCGAGATATCAAATATTATACAGAAAACCCTTGTACAAACATATTTACTATATTTTCAAAAGGCACCCAATTCTACTCCGGCGATCCTAACGTCCACATCATCCTTCAACCCAAAAGGCTTACTACGGTTTCTTGCAAGAGAGGGGGGGGGGGGTTGAGTAATCTAAGATTACTCAGTGAGTCCAAGACCCACTAAAAGAAAGAAAACCCCGAAAACCCCAAAAACCTCAAAAACCCCAAAAACCCCAAAAACCCCAAAGAAATTCCCAATCAACAAGCAATAGCCGAAGCAACATAAAATAAATAGCCGAAGCATGCAACCCTAGATCTATATGCAAGCGCTATACTAAAGCCAAAAGTGCCACCACTTCCACACCAAACACACACGCGTGGACACAGAGATCTCTAAGTGTGTCGGCCAGTTCCCCTCCGCGAATACCTTGCACTTGACTATCACAATGACACGCCTAGCCGGAACATAACTACTACGAACACCATGCACTTGGCTATCACAAAGACAAGCCAAGCCGGAACATCACTATACCCTGGGACCTCCTCGGTCGGTTCATATCTCGGTGGAGTTTCCATCCGAGAGCCGCCAAGTGAATTCACATCCCAGGCGGGACAACCATGAGTCCTCGCTGGTTTCCCACTATCCCGTCGGATAGTACTCTGCCATAGGCTTGCAAGGCCCGTCCATCTCTGAGTCTTCCCATCTAGCAGTACATTCGCTTACCATGGGGAGCGGGGAATTCTGACCACACTGTAATTAAGTCATGAAGGATAACACGCCACCAACATGACTCTGTAGTATAATGGATCACACCCCATTACACTTCACACCGCGTTGATCCACACTTGATCAAACGCCAACACACTCCACACAACCTCCGAGAAGTTCGCGCCCTAGAGTGACGGCAAAGCCAGAACTCCTCTAGTCCCAACTCTTGTTAACAGATACAAGCCTCACACGCTTGAACCATGCTCATGCACGTTCATTACAACTCCGCTTACGTGACTTTTCAGCCACGCAACGGGTTTTATCATAAATCATACACTCGCTCATTCGATGAAGGAACATGCAAGTGGATCTGAGATCCAGCAGTCCTTACACCCTTCTCACCACTCGGTAAGGATGATAACATGTCCCACAGACATGCATCAAACCGTTACCTCATCCAACGGGTTCCACAGCACACAGATCTAACAAGTCCGAGGCTGAACCTGCACCAAAAACGTTAGTATACACTCGGATCCACATTGATCCGATCTTCCCTGCATGACACGTTGGTCACACACATACACACAAGCATAGAGTATACTCTACCGAGGCTAGTTTTGCGCTACAATGCAGATCCGAGATCCACAGTGCACCACGAACAGCAACCGCGATAGTCCACCACTACCGGGACTCACCTTGGACTACACCAGAAAGTGGCCTACCGAGGCTAAGCTCACCACTCTACACGCTTCACACACTCACTCTCTGGTTTCAAAAGGTTTTGGGAGTAGAAAATTAAAATGGGGGTGAATGGGATGAATGAGGAGGTATTTATGAACAAAAAGCTACCCATGGTAACAACTAAGGTGTGTAGAAATCTGGATCCTTCTTCACTTAGATACATGCCACGTTTTTACCTTATGTCTTAGGCTCCTTCTCATAGACTTTAGGCCTGCCATTTGGTTCTTATCCACAAACATAAGGTGGAAGCTTCCCACTGGCCCAGAACTGTGCATTTAACCTTTCTTCTGTGTTTTTCACTGCCAAATGACCCAAGTGAAATGATTAACTGATGGTAAACACCTCCTTTGTCCTCTATTGTGGCATTATAACATACCTCTCTCCTGGTTGTCAAAGAATTATCCAACTGCACTGTAGTTTTGTCGGTAGTATACATAACAGACTTTAACGGGACCAACATGTTTTCTCTTGTTTTCTTTGAGATCATGGCCATATTCTTTAGTGGATGGACTCCTCTTAGGCTTAGTTAATGTTTTTTAGACTCCCGAGCTGTTTGGTTCTTGACCGAGATGGTGTCTCCGCCATCTGACTCATTCCGCAGCTCTTAGACGTCTATCAGATTGAACGAATTTTGTAAGTCTCGGCAGAATTTTTTTTTGAACTAATTCTTTTTGCACGATCTCCTTTAGGATCTTGGCTACCTCCGTAATTAAACCCACAATTTTTAAAATTGTACCGAGGGGTCATCTTGCTAGAAAACTCTGTTCGGGTCGGATAGCGCTTTGACGGGGTATTACATATTGTCTTCTGGTGTTTCCTCCACCGCTATGTCATCATCACTTTCTTTGTAGAATGTTTGTACGGAATGTGTGTTGTGAATAACGATCATCTTGTTCAAGATCACGTTCACACAAAAAATTAATCGAATAATTCTTTAAATGGAAGAGTTTTGCTTTGTAGCACTCGCACAAATTTTTTTATTTTTTCCAAATTCCTAAAATGATATTAAAATATTGTTAATTAAATTCAGTGTGTAATACTAATATTATATATTAATATTTTTAGCACTCACCGTAATTCGACCACTCCACCAAGATTAGGACATCTCTAACCTTCCAGTTAGAAGATTAACCCTAACACCAGTACGACTAGTTAATATAGTGTTATACTGCCGCAGTTTACGCATATAGTCAATTTTGCTTTTTATTTATGACTGACGCTTTGAACGTCTTCCATTACTTGATCCAGCATTATTTTCATTTTTGTTCCTTATATTCTTTATTTAAAAAAAAAAAAAACACATCAATAAATATGAATATACGTAATTTTTCAACATTAATGTATTCAACTAATGACAACTTAACCCATAAACAATATATAATTGTAATGAAAACTTGATCCAATTAAGAGTATTAACAATATGATTTTGTCTCTCAAAATTCAATTACATACTACCAGTTTTAAAAGATACGCAAATATAATCCTTCGTATACATAAAAAACTTTAACATAGTATTAAAACATTAACAAATTATAGAAACACAGCATTATATGATGTAACTACATATAAAATCCAGATTAATTATGAATTAAGTGTTACAAAAAACTATAATAAAATAATGATATAAAAACTGAAAGCACTTAAAGAATCTATTACTTTACACTCATGGCTAAGATTTCTTCTAATTCATAACCTGGTTTTATGATAAGTAGAAATTGTGTTTTGTTTTTTTTTCTACAGCTGAAATCTTTGGTGTGGTGATGTATTTATAGGGAATGTTGGTTTTATCTATTTTTGTAACATATTTTTGAGTTATTCAAATAAATCTTTTAGTTTGGAAATATCTAATTTGTTGTTGTAGAATGTTTGGCTATTTATTTATTTTTTATTAGAATTTTCGAAAATATCTTGTTTGTTATGGTATCACATAAAAGTAGCTGATATATTTAATTACTTTTATTTTTTAAATACAACAAATATGATAAACAAACAAAAAAATTATTATGTTTCACCATTCCTCTTCTTTTTTTTTTGTGGAGGGCCAGATCTCAGCATAATAAAGTCCAATTCCACTTAAAATATGGATCCCATTTTTTCTACCTAAAAATAAAAAAAAAACGTAAATAAAAAGAATTTAGAAAAATGCAGCGTAACTGATAGTTACGCCAAAATTTGTTCTACTGTTTATATCTCCATTTGCAACGTTTGTAACTCCATTTGCAGCGTTTGTATCTCCATTTGCAGCCGTGATAAATTGGTTTTGACAGATTTAATACCAAAAAACCCAGTAAATGATTTTGATATTGACGATTGAAAGCATTTATAAGAGAAAACTAGGTGTCTTGCCTGCGACATGCGCGGACCGAATTGCTTAATAAATTGTTGTTTTGAATAATATCAGATATGTTCAAAAACATAACGAAACCGAATTAAATAGTTCAATACATCCAAAAACCTTATTAAATAGTTGGAGTAGCATTTTTTGAAACACAAATGAGAAACATGCATTCTCCTTATTGTTCATTTGATCTAGAGCTTGCGGTCAAGGCCTCCTCACCACATTGTAGCCTGTAATAAAAATTTATGATATGTATGAGGAGCTAAGAAGTAGTAAACTAAATTGATTTATTCTGTTTACAATGTTATTATCTATCGCAGAAACGATGAATATCAGGAACATCGGCATTGAAATAGAACTCACAATACTTCTTCATTGCAATAACATTCATAATACCTATACAAAAAAAACTAAGATCACAAGACAACAAATATAAACCAACAAACATAGTTTGGTGTATTATAGTATTCATAATACCTTCATATTGTTTGTTGATGTACCACCATCTCAGCACACAAATAACCTCTCCATCACGGTTTTGAGACCATTGCAAGGCAAATCTTCAGCTACTTTTCCCATCGCGCAACATTTAGTTACACGTTTTCTATAGAAAAGACGTTATAAAATTGCAATGAATCGATAATATGATGTGAAAATAAATAATAACCTTACTTGTCATCTTGGAGATCAAAAGGGATGATAGCGTAATCATCTTATATTTTACTCTCATCAAAAATCTCTAGCTCACCGATGTTTTTAAGAACACCAATTAAATCTAACAAACAATATCACAAAATAATAAAACTTTTC